GAAAACTAAATATGCCAAATATACAGTTTTATGTCCAGCCGTTTGAAAAGCCACTTCTATGAAACTACCATAAACAACATTAATTAACACATTTTTCAATAAATTTATAATATCTCGAGCATTGACAAGAGCAAAAAACATGCATGAAAAACAATTAAATTATTGAACTGTTTATCGGAAAAAAATATAGCTCCGGTTCAGGTTTAGGTTCGGCTGTTCTTAATTCACCTAAATTGTTTTAAGGAGTATAAAAATTGGAAGCCAGTTCTGGTTTTATAATAAAATTTTTATAAAAACATTTTAGACGCTTATTTTTCTTTAACAAAAAAATATTACAAGAATCTGATTCTCGGAGATGTCAAACATGTTGGATATCATTTTCCAATTAAAGCTAGGCTCTAGTTAAGTTTGAATCTTAAAATGTTGCAGCACCAAGACAAATAATGACTTTAAGTGGAAGCCATACATATTTCCGGTTGAAAACCATAGTTGGCGACTGGTTCAAATATGCGTCAAAAAGAGGGTGTAAGGGTATGAGGGGCGGCTGGTGTTTGATGTAGACATATTTATGCACTTCGTCGCATTCAGTTTATAATGCCTTGTGTAATTATTCTTTGTTTAAATAATTCAAAAAGATGCACTTAAAATGTCAGCGCAAAAACTTATGAGCTCAAACACACATACACGCACATTTTTCTACACACACACACACGTTTGGGTGCTATATTCTGGTTCAACGCTCTTTCCTCCTTGCCTTACACGCGCTTTTATTATGATTTCTCACTTACAGTCCTTTTTTCTCATGCTATTTAGAACATTTACATTTTTATGAACATTTCGCTGCTCGTTGTTGCTGCTGCTTCTGTTGCTGTTGTTGTTGTTGTTGTAGCAACACCCCGCTCTCATAATATACGTCTTTTATATGCGCATACACTAATATGCATTGCGTATGCATGTGTGTGTGTGTGTGTGTGTGTGAGTGTGTGAGTAAGGAAGACAAAGAAGCTGGGAGTGCAAGCTGGCATTAAAGTATATTAAATTACTTAAGCACAGCGGATGGAACAACAACAACAGTTGCAGCTGCAGTTGCAGCTGCAACAACTGCAACGAAGACATACGCTCAACTTTTAAAGCATAATTTCTCAAGCATAAATCTTTGTGGCTTTTGCTTGCAACAAACAAAAATTAGTTGCACTCGGCGAAAAAAGCATAAGCAACGGTAAATTATGCGCCGCAATATGTCAGCGTGTTGCCAGAGTTGCCTTTGCGCCCGCTGCGTTTGTCACACAGCATGGCGGCCAGGCTTGCCAGCTTGGCCAAGGGGGGTGCCCCACGCTTAATCAGAAATTATTTGAAAATGTTGAGTCGACATGTCGGGACTGCGACTCACGACTCACGCACAGTGAATGTTACTGTAACTGCTGCTGCTGCTGCCACTGCTGCTGCTTGCAATTTGCACACGCCACGACCCCATGACCCAAATAGAATGAAATCTCGGCAAGAAAAACGGCAAACAAAGGCTACAGTCTGTGGCAAAGCCAACTTTCATAGACTGCAGTCAACGTTGCACGCTGTGCCAGGCTCCCCGGCTCATTTGTTTTGTCGACGCACAAAAGCATGCTATACAAAATAAGCAACAATAGCCAAATTCAGTGTATCGCAGCTGAAATACCTTATAAATGCGATCGGCAAAATGACAACAGCTATAATTGCAATTTATGCATATCTATTATCTTTCTGTAAATTAATTCCAACTTTCTAATAATAAAAATAATTAAAAATGAAAAAAGCTCGCGTTTAAATTATATTAAAAATGTAATGTATGGCAATATTATGTTAACTTAACAGACGTATTTAAAAAGCCTGTTAAGGCTTACCTTACAAAATGTTAAGCATAAAAACCAAAAAATATAGTGTACCAAAAAATTGTATTCTACTTAGTCGCAAATATATTTTTGTTTACAGTTTCGATCAGTTAGATCTTTCCAATCGATTTTTAACAGTGTAGACAATATTAAGACTTCAGTAACATCTGTGATTATGGGACAAATGGAAATGCAAACAATACAACTATCAATTTTTTGTTCTCAGCAGGAAATCTTTAATCAGCTCATCACGATGCAGTAAAAGTTCCCCTCGATGCGTGTGCCAAATGTAATGACACAGTTGCCATATCTTGCAGCTAGGTTGGGACACGTGCAGAGGCGCACACGCTTCGCGTATAAGTTGCACCAGGCAGGAGGACAAAAAACATTGCAGCCGTCCGTTGCCACAATGGCTTCATCTTGAACCAGTTGGCAAGACGTTGGCATCTCGCGCTGTTTGGCTCGCCGCCCACTTTGCAATAATAACTCATGTTAACCGAAAACCGTGCAGTGTCTTTTCGTACTGCCGCTGTTGCTGCTTACTTGTCCTCGCTCTTATTCTCCACAATTCTCCACGATTCTCGCCCTGTTCCAACATAAAAAAAAAAACAAAGAAAATAAGAGAAGAAGGAACTTTTCGCGCACAATCAGCTGCATTTCAACATTGCGTCGCATTGTTGCCTTTTGCTTATAATTTACTTTTACTTGTGCACTTTGGCTTGGGCTTTATGTTTGGGTCTGTTTCTGTGTTTGTGGTGTGTAAAATATTTGCGCTGCCAGCGACAACAACGGCAGCAACAACTACAACAGCAAGGACAATGGCGCACAACATTAACCATAATAATTTTCTTTGCGAAAAGTTTCAGTCAGAACATGTTGGGGCGGCCCTGTCACTGTTAATCAGCTGCCAGCAGCTGGTAAACAAAATGCATTGAATGGAGAGCTTTGAATCCTGTTGTTCCCGGTTACGGTTTTGTTTTCTCAGAACAAAAGTGACGTGTGCAAGCAGCGTTCCGTGCTAAGGACCTTTTCTGCAACTTCACTGTTCAAGTTTTGTTAAGCACAACGGAAAGACTTTACATGAAACAACCAGCTCTTTGAGCTGTTCGAAATTTTTACATTTGAATTGGCTATTTGTCTAATCTATTTGAAATTTCCTTCGTAATCAAAACTACCAAACAATTTTCAGCTAAACCAATTCTATGGGAAACTTTACTTAACCAAAGGAGCCAGAGTGTTGTGTGAAACAAATATTTCCTTGATTTATTTTTAGTTTTTTCCTGAGCTTTGTTTTGAGTTATTTAAAAGATAACCCTCAGAAACGATTATCCAAACATATTATTTTTTGGGGAGCCATAAGTTTAGCATGCACTACAAAGTCGAACCAACTCTTTTCATTAGAATTCTTAACTAGGACTCGGACGCGGATGGAATATACTTCTGAATTTGAAAGTACTTTATATTTTCGACCATCTGAACAGTTAATAACAACCTTTAAAGTATAAAAAAGCTTTTGCAACAGACTTTAAATTACATTATACTTTCTCAGATCCAAAATTCTTCTAAATAGAACTAAAACCTATTTCGGACTACTTACAAATTATTTACATAAACAAATAAAATAAAATACTAAATACGTTTGATTTCTTCGATCAAAGTAATTTGTATACCATCGGACGCAATCTCCGCCTAACAAAGGTCTGGTCGATTCCAGCGCTAAAAATACAAATTGAAATTGAAAAATAATTTATGTGAATAAAATAAAAGAGATACCACATATAGAGCTTGAGCTTGTGCATCAAATCTTGTACGGAAAGAAAGTTTGTAACTATATATCGAGTATTTTAATCCGTTATATTTCCGACAGTCTAAATAATTTTAATGTATAAATACTACGACACATAAAAAGCTTAAAACTGATTTAAATGTTACATACCTTATCCTTTTCTTAAATACTTTTTATTGTCTCTTATCTAGATAAGTTGTGTGAAGATCTATAGACCTTGAGATTGGTACTGACTTATTATAAAGTTGATTGACTTGGACTAATATATAACTAAGTGTTGAGCTTCAGCTTGTTGCGGTCTAATACACATGTATAATTTTAAAAGAGCTTAACTCAAGTCACACAGCGCTTTATTCTCATTTTTATCTTATTATGAAGTTAATTATCACATCTCTCGTTAGCCGAGTTTTTAGATAATTTCTGCTGATTTTGCTGGTGGCTACCTTTGGCTCAGAAAACTCAATTAGGTTTAGCACTCGCACTGGCACTACTTGTACATTCATACATTCATTCATTCATACATTCATTCATTCATTCATTCATTCATTCATTCATTCATTCATTCGCCGCACGCAGCCTGTAAAGAGTCTAAAATCGATTAGGCTGACCATTTTTATGAACTGGATGCTGAGGCACAGCAAATGAAATTGCTTACATGCCAAAATTTTAACTAAGTCATAAATATGTGAAAAGTTTTCTTTTTGCGTTACCAAATGCAACGTGAGCGCTTTTGCAAGTTTTCCAGGCAGACCAGGCCAGACCAGACCAGACCAGGCCGGGCCAGAAGAGGCGGAGCGAGGCCACGCCTTCCGCCTTAGGCAAAAGGCACGCAGCTAAAATAATTGATAACAGATTATGTTTTACAATCTAAGCAAGATATGAGATATGCTCGTAATTTTAATGGCCACATGTAGCGGGCCACACGTAGACAGTAGCTGGCTACGAAATCCCGGACCCGGCACAGATTCCGCAAAACGTTGGAAAACTTAATTATTTCGTGCTGGCTGCTGTTGGTTTTCTGGCCATTTTTGGCCACACTCACGAGCACACACACAAACACACACATACACATACATGCGGACGGAAACCGAGCCCGGGCGACGGACAACTGGAAAGTTATTTATTTTATGGTCAAAAGTTACATTCTGCTGCTTTATGGCAGCAGCGCCAGGAGAAGCAGCTACAGTTTTGGTGGCTTTAAAATTTACTGGCGCATAGCTCATAAATCAAAAACTATGTAAACGTGATTCTCGTGTGCGAATCTTTTTGCGAGAAAATTGTAATTGTTGCATACGAGGGAAGACACCACCTCTGAGCAGCATGAGCCTCAGACCATGCCTCAAATGTGGCACATTAATCGAGGGAAGGACGCATTGTCACAGTTGCTCTGCTCCCGGAGCGAGCAAGTGACAGCCTGCTGGCCGTCATTTTGGACATGGACATCATACTCGCCCTAGAGGCGATTGAGGCAGCGATGCTTCCTCCACTAAGGGACGGCTCCACAACTTTTCCTTCGGTCTGTTCGGGGTTAAGACCCAAACTTTGTTGCGCCATATCAAGTAAAACCGAATCCCGATAGAATTTCGTTTCGTCTATCTTAACATTGTACATGCCGGTCGGATTTTCTCGATCGAATGGCAAATCCGGACGTATGTCGCTGTCTGTGACCAGCACCCGAGCGCCAGGTATGGGTAGAAATTTGAATAGGCGCTTGCGCAGCTTCGGCATGTAGGTGGTCTTCATGTGATCTGGCACATGGTGGAGCCTGCTCACCATCTTTGAAGCACGTAGCTCGATTGGATGATCAGCTAGACGCCGGTCTTCGGGCAAACGTTCCTTGATGGCCTCCAGCTGGCGTGTGGTCAGCTGCAGCGGACGTACGCCATCCTTCCAGCGCTCCTGGCCACTTAAGAAGGCAATTTTTTTGTTATTCCGCAGCTGTTTGCGTACAATACGCTTGGCTATGCAGTTATAGACTATGCGTGGCACATAGGGGGACACTGGAAAGTCTCGGGTGGAAATTGGAAAACGCCTTGGATTGACCAGCATATTTAGGTATTTGCCATCGGCAAACATTTTCAATTGCTTCTCCGCCTTCTTGCCTTTGACTATCTTCTTGCCAATTGGCTTGGGCAAATCGTGCTTGCCCATCTGGAAGATATGCCTGTGTCCATGGCCAATTACATGGCGCCAGTCGGGCTCACAATACTTTCGAGTATTGATGCGCTTGTAGGGCAAACGCCGGAACTTGTACCGCTTCTGCATCTCAATATTTAGTGTCAGGCGGGGCGTGGTCTTCTTGCCCCTCTCACAGGCACACACGTTCGGATAGCGTATATCATAGCGTCCTGGACCCGGCTCAAAACCAATGTTACGATGAATGCGAACGTTTCGCTTTGTTGGCACACAGGAGAGTCGCAGAAACAAGTGCGGATTGTCGAGATGTGTCTTCGTAAGGGGCGCCATGTTTGACTCAATCTCATAGTAACTGGTGTGAGTATCGGTGGGACCGGGATCATTCGGATTGCGCCAGCAGCAAGTCAAATCAGATGTCATCAGGCGCGACGAAGGACGGCGCTCACGTGCATCTGCCAGAGCACACAAAAAAAACAACAAATTATTATACCTATTTAAAATGGGTAAAAAGGGAAGGAAGCGTCTCTTATGAAGTATATATACATATATATTCTTGGTCAGGTCAAGGAGTTGAGTCAATCCACCTAGTTCGTCTTTCCGTCAGTCTATCAGTCCGTATAAACGCGTCGAAAATATACGTTCTTGTATACTAAAGGCAGAACGCAGTTATCATTCTCCTTCGATATGTCCTCCCATTTTCACAATATAGATAGATATAGATTTTGATAATCAGTTTTTTAAGCACAGCTCGAGCACATAAGAAGCTAGATACTTGGTCTGTAGATTCTCCTATAGTATAGAGAGATAAGAAATACTACACATTTTGGAAACTTTTCGCCATTCTCTCCAAAATGGAAAAATACTGAAAATTTACATTAAGAGCCTTGAGCTTTGGTATATACGCACATTCGGATGCCATATTTAGGCGCTAGAAATTTCGGAGTAAGTTGGGGTTTTCTTGATTAGTCCTAAAACGTTTCAAGTTCAGGGTATGAAATCTTTCAAAATCTAAATACAGCCTTAATTTAATATTAACGTTTTCTTACTTGTTAAAAAGATGCCCTTTTGCTTGTTCTCCGGCTTTAAAAATCGTTCGATTTCCGCTGGCAGCTCGTAGAAGTGGGACGGGGGCGGCTTGATCGACACCCGACTTTTGTTGGTATGCATTTTGGCAAATGCGGAGCCCTTGGAGCCCATCCGACTCAGAAACGGTACAGGCAGCACGCCGTATCGATTCGGAGCCTGTTGGTATCCACGCCAAGTGGTCATAGCCCGATCGTAGCGCAACGGACGTTTTTCCGGATATGGAGTCACGGGCGTCTTTTCAAAGCCCGTCACATGTCTATAATGTGCATAGGTCGCGGCACTAAACTCCTCTCCTCGGTTCTCTGTGAAAATATGTACCATATTTTATTTATCAATTGAAATTTACCTTTAAGCTTTACTTACCTTGTTGGCAGTGGGTATTGTAGTGCCCGCCGGCCAGCTTGAATTGTTTCTGGACGTTATCCAAGTGATCCTCACGTATGCGATTGCCTAGAAGCATCTATAGTTAATGCCCGAGGAGAATACAGATGCGATTGGATACATACGAGATAACATAAAGAGCGGCAAACTCATGCGAGTTGCAACGAAATTTTGGCGCTCATCCGCCGACAGTTTTGTCTCCTTTTTGTCCATTTTTCCTTCGTTTTTTTTTTTGATTTTGTTGCAATTAAAAGAGCTTAAAATTTAAAACTGTGCGAAAATTATTGTATGTTTTCTGATATATTGTTGTATTTGCGTTACACAGACGCCAAGCCTGCCCCGCTACGCATATTATAATGTAATGACGGCTAGAAACTTTATGCTGAACCTACTTTGATACATTTTAGCTAGGTAAATTGGCAAATGATGATTGTTTGTGGGGGAGGCGTCAAATAAGTAATCTTCAGGTGTTGTTTGAAAATCAGTATGATTATTTGGTAGTGGCACTTTATTATAAACTTTCGGCTGCATATAATGAACTATACATTTGAAGTGATTTTACATATTTTTGGTTGGAGTTATGGAGGTGGAAAGGAGACCACAAAGAGAGTGCTGAGCGCATCTTGGATCGAATTAGTGAGTGAGTCTCTCTCAGTGAGTGAGTCTGTCTCACTGAGTGAGTCAATGCTGTGTTCAGACTAGCAATGAACTGGCATGAACAATGATAAAACAAATGATTAAATAAATATTAAATTTATCTATCACCAATGTATTTTTTTAATTCATTCAAGACGTTTGAAACGAAAATTCGTCACCAAAATTGACATTTAGTTTCTAAAATAATTATTATAGATAAAGTTTTTCTTATTTTTTAGAGCTACCGGCGGCCTCTTCTAGCGTGTTTGTAGAAGAAGGTTCCCCTAGTCGCTCACTCCCGACCTCCTACAAACCCTTTCACATATTTAATCTCTTTCATATAAAACTTAAACATGCTTTTTACTTTAACAACTTAAGCTAAAAATTAATCATTTTACTGATATTAAATTAAATTATATTGTTATGAGCCAAAGCCCAGGAGATAGATGTGGTAAGCTAGGTTCACGAACCGAACCCGAAGTCGAGGCATTGTTTTTTAAAAGCAAATGTTTAATACCAGAATCTTGCAAAGTTAATATCTCCAGTAATAGTCTTCAATATAAAATGCATCACTCTGAGCGATAAACTTAACGTTTAATAATGAATGCAAGCCCTTCAGTCCACTATACGTTGATGATGAAGCATCTTCCCAGTCATTTGTGGCTGCACCGTTGATTGACTGACTCTTAACCGACTGTGTCCTGTACTCCTGTTGTCTTGTATTGCTCCACTATGCCTTTTTGGCTGATTGCCTGCACTGCTGCATTTAATCGAATTAATTAATGGCACATTTCACATTCATCATTCCCCGTCTGCATATTTTTCATTTCGTTTTTATCCACTGCTTTGTATTTTTATTAACCTATCCCCACCAACCCACCGATCCACCCAACCCACACATTCTGGTCGACACCCACATCAGTACCTATGGTGATTGCATTTGCTTCACAGTTGCGTGTTTTTCACTGGATGTTCGCTTTATTTTATATATATACCATATACATATATATATACCATTTTCTTCTTTTTTTGATACGAATCAACGAACTGCAAAATTCAATTGAAAATCGTTGAATGCAAGTTAATCAGTGCGCTTGGCTACGCTAATTATGCGGCCGATGAAATTACATTGATAAATGTGGCGTACATATATATACACGTATACGTAGTATATATTCATTCGTGTAAGTATTTTATGTAACCAAATTATTGTTGTCTAATGAGTTGTACCGAAGATCGCCTTTTGTATGTTGGTAATTATGCTTTATTGTCCGGAAAATGTAAAATTTCTCGTTCGTTTCGCAATAGTTTTCATAGAGGAACGTCGCAACATATTCCAATCGAACTGCAATGGGATTCGTAGGAAAACATTTCTTAATTTCAACTATTACTTTTTAAAAATGAAGTTTAGCAACATGTAAAATCTATATTTTTTTACATTTTTGGTATCACTGCCGATCAAAACGTCTACACATTTAACATGCATGTTAAACGAATCTGCGTTGCAATTAAAATCTACAGAAATGTATAGAAAAAATATGGATATGGATATCTAAGGAAAATGCAAGTACCTTAGTTATGCTTTGCAACTCTGCTAATAAAACCAACTACACATTTAACATGCATGTTAACCGGCAATTGTTTTGCGAATATTTTAAGTGAACAGGGTAAGATATAATATATAGTTTTTGCAATATTGTTTTATATAATATCCCAATTTTAGCAGATTACATTGATATTTTTGATTACTGTCTTCCACGCCTTGCTCCTCTATTCTTTAATTTGTCCGCGGCTTTCTTAGCTTCTTTCTTAGCCTTCTTTTCTTTTTTCTTTGCCAGTTTGGCCTGCTTTTTCAGTTTGCGTAAATGAGCTACAATTTTTGAGGTTGATTAAATTTAATTATACTTTTGGCATAGGAAAAACGTAGCACTTACATTTAACGTATTTGGCAGTCACCAAGTTGACGGGAAGTGGTGCACACTTGAAGCCAGCCGGTGGCGCCATGCTAAGCTTAATGAAACGATGTCCTGTTGCATAGAGCATGCCCAGGCAGGCCTGTGGTCGAATTCGCGACTTGGGCCACTTATCAAAGTAAAGATCCTTGCGCTTTATTTCCGCCATTTTGACGCCCTCAAGGTCACGCCAATGATACATTACTTTTGGCGTGAAGGGTCTGATTGGCAGTTTCCAGCTGTGATGTGGGGCATACTTCTGATACTTGCCCCAACAGCCGGGCTTGTCCACATAAAACCAGACATCGGCATTCGGATAGAATTTCATGTTTATAAAGGAAAAGGTCTAATCTAAGAAATAAATAGTTTGTTATTTTATGCAAGAAATTTTAAAGGGAAATTTGTATAGAATCAAATAATGAAATATCTGAAAATGATTAAAATATATGTATACAATAGCAAAAATCAAAGCATACTCAGCATATTTTAGGAGTGTCAAATGTCAGACAGTTAATAGAATAGAGTTTTTTAATGTCTTATATTTCTTGCTTATACAGCGGGTACTATAATTTTATCAAGTCTATCTATCTGCATTTATGTCTGTTATTCGACAAAATTTATCTGTGATTTTAAACTATATTATAAAAGTTCCCCACTTTTATGTTTGCTTTTAGAACTGGATTCTAAAATTATTGGAAGTTATAACTATGCGGGTGTCAGATAGGTTAGGTTATAGTTAGTTATTATTGTTATTATTATCATCATGTTTGAATGTAAACGATAAAGTGTAAGTAATAAACTAAGAATTTAACAGAAGCCAATGCTATTCAATATTGCTGTCCTTCTATTAATAGGGCTTTTGCTGAAAGCAAGGTATGAGACAGAGAAGATAGAGCGTTGAGTTCAGTTTTCAGTATTGAGTGTTAACTGTACTAAAAGACAGAAGAAAATAGGATAAGAAAAGCACGGGCAAGTCCTACTGTAGGCGACACTCTGGACTATGCCTAATTAAAAGGAAAAGGCCTTTGAAAATGATTTTGAACCCGATCGGATGGTAACAAAAAAACTTTCATACAACCGTTTTCGCAAATTAACCACTGTTTTCGCTAAAACACAGACAGTTTAAGAGTTCGAGTCTTTAAACTTAGCTAGTTTTTGAATGATACAAATTGTTCCAATACACTTATAATTCTGTCGCATGCCAGTCTGAAAATAATATAAAAATGCATTTATTTTTTATATTCCACGAGAATTATTTGTCGCACTGTATTTCCATTTAATGCACTGGCTTTCAATAACTTTCAAGCGGTTTTTTTTTTGTGGTGGCTGTAAATACTTGAAAGTCATTTACATTTTATCAGCTCTGCGGAGTTGCGATTTATGCGACAAATTTTATAAGTTTTCTTGAAGCTCTAAACGGATTCTCAAATGCAGCATAAAAATTGGAGCATTAATGTGAATGGCCCCGTTGCCAGTTGTTGAACGTGTCCAGCTCAGCGACTAACTATACTAAAAGCTAAGCAGGCACTTGCTGGCTAAGTTAAGATCATTAGATTAAAGGATACACGCCGGGACAAAGGTGGTGCCGAAAAACTGTCAATTAGGTTTAATTATTTTATGCTGCCAAATGGGGTCACACACACACACATGGCAGCTAATGTGCAAAGGCGTCTTATGCAAGTGCTTTAAACTGAATAGCTTGGTGAGCTGGGCTGGGGTGGTCTCTTGACTCTAACAGTGCCTGCCGCTAAGCAAAGTCAATTATCCCAGCAGCTTTGATGCAAGTAATTGGCATAATGAAATTTTCTCAGCCAACGACAAGGACAACCGCAAAGAATAGAAGCAGCAGAGCAACAGCAGCGGCAGCCGCAGCAGCAGCGACAGCAGCCGTAACCATAACCGTATTAGCATATCAAGCGGCAACTGCGGAGCCGATGACAATGACAACGTTTGCCCGTCATCCTTGCCCCCAGGCTGATAAGCCGCGTTGACGCCATACTTTTTGCGTATTGAATAAATATTTAAACAGTCCAACAGCTGTCGCACAATATTAATAGCATACGCTGGGGCGCCACTTGAACTTCGCCAAGAGCCTCAACAGCCGCGCGCTTTCATGCAGGATCTTGGGCAGAGCTTCAGGCCCCAGTGCAAATATGTTGCGGCCATTGCCACAAAATATTTAAATATTTTATAAGCCAAAGGCAGTCGGCAGTGTGCAGCAAAGCAACAAACCGTAACCAAAGTTGCCATGGCCCCCAACCAGCAGCCATTGCAACTGCAACAACAACAACATCTTGTGCAACACTGAAACAGCAACTGCAGCGGTTGCAAGGACCAAGTTAGCTGCTGCACTCACAAAATCGACAACATCCAACTTTCAGACTTATAAATGCGTTCTATTCGCCAACCAATATATTTGCTATGCTTTTTATTATATTAGCCAATGGGAATTAAATGGGATGACAGCAAATTGTCGATATTCTGAAATTAAGTTCTTAATGCTTTACAACACAAGGGAATATTTAACCCGTCTAACAACATCTTTAAGCATTAGTTCAAAAATATCAATGCTTCGCTTCTCCCCGATAGCTTTTCAATACAGAAATTCAGTTTAAATGGAACAAACAATAAAATAAAAAAGCATGTTTTAAAACTTCTGTTCTTTTATTTTTGGACACCAAAAGGAACAAAAATGTCATGAGTACCGATACCGATCCTATCGACTATCCGATAGATATGAACTAGTTAGACTTGGTCAATTTTATCTTTAATTTTCAGAACTTTTTTAAATAGCTAAAGTGCATTGCTTCGTCGACTACTGCATCATTTAATACCCCGCAGTTTTATTTACAGTCTCAGGAAAAGTATGCTCATTATTTTATTTATTGAAGAAATAATATATACACTATTGTTTGAATAAGCAGCACCTGTTAAATAAAAGAAATACCTTTCAGTCTAATTTAACACATTAACAAGTATACTCTTAAAACACCGACTCTTCAGACGCAACAGTTATCGTGTTAAGCACAGGGTATTCTAAAGGCAATCACTTTAAAACATGATTTTATTTGATTCCGTTTTGTTGGCCAACTCGCTTGGCATTCCCTTAATACCATGCCTTTTCGTTGGTTGCATTTCAACAAGGGATGCATGCGCTGGCATTGTCTTTGGTGGCTACAGATGGTGGTGGTTGAATTGTGCCCGGCTGGCCGGCTAGCTGCATTGGTGGTGCAGTGGGTGGTGCTCGCTTGCGGTTTGTTGCTTTGTTTCCATTGCATATGAACGACAGCGCTCAACACTTTTTATCGTTGCCATCGCCGCACTGCTACTTATTATAATTTCTTTTTTTTTTTTGTGTTTCTCTACTTTTTGCCTTGCTCCGGAGTAAATTTCCATGGGGGCTTAGCCAGAGCTGAACATGTTGTTGAGTTGATTTCATAGTGTGCGAGTGGCGCTTACAAGTTGGGGCATTGGTTTAGTGTGCATGAGCGCGCAAAAGTATGCTACAACTATTCCAAAGTCCCCGCTGCAAAGGCAATCACATTTAAATGTTCTGGCTTATACGAAGTATATAAATTGCGCCAAATAGTTTCAAATACTCCGCAAATATATGCCATATTACCAAAATTTTATATTAAATTCTGTTAATTATAGCATGCAGTTCAATATAATACAAAAAAATTGATTACATGTTTTGTACTAAATATTTAATTCTAAGGTTCGAATTTGTAGTAAATATTTTTGTAAAGGTTTTGCATTTTGAGAAATAATTAAAAATAGGTAGAACCTATATAAACTTAGACAGAAAGACAAGATCAGTGTTTTCGGCTTTCACATTCAAATACAGTTTCAGAAGTGGACATATATAGAAAGAATAAACCATACTTTCAAAAGGTATATGTCCTCTTTCTCCACCGAATACGGTTTGATGAATGCTTCAACAGACAACGGTATTTATAAATATCAATTTATATAGAAGAAATGTACAATCTAAGGAATAAAAGTTAAGCTTGAATATTGTGTTCGGCGACTTTTGATAGTGTAAAAGTGTCATTATTATCGATCAAATGTATTATAAAACATTTCGAATACTTTCAAGAATTTTGAAATATACGAATATAATTAGTTTGCGCATTAATATATATATATTTTTAGTTACCTAAAAACTAAATTTTCGCGAGATAACAAAGTGGCGACCCACAAAATAAAGCAAATCGATTTATCCTTAGAAGATAGATTACCTCTATTTAAATAAATGCTAAACATAGGAGTCTACCCAAGATGCATCGAACTGCGCTTTAACTATTTTGTGCTATAAGTGGTTATTAAACTCTTAAAATGTATTCTTCAGTCATAACCACACCCGAAAATTGCCGCTGGCAATTATTTGTTGGTGATTTTGAGGCTGAAAGAGTCAACTCCATTGAAACAATGCCGTCAACGCTTCAGCATAATTATGTCGCAAAAAGATGTTCCATGGTTTTTTTTTTATCGTTGCGCATTAAAAGGCTTTTAAAATTTATTGATATTACCGACTCTATTAAATTATGCCAGGCAGCCAACACCCTTGAGCTTGTACTTTTTTATTTTTATTTTATTCTGTTTTCCTTTTTTTTTTGGCTTCCCTTTCTTTATTTTTAATGCCGTATTTTATGAGTGACGTGGCAATGGCAGCAAATTTTCCATGTCGTCAATGGCAGCGACCGATGACTGGCAGCAAAATTGGCAATGCCAAAAGCAGCGACGGCGACGCCGACAGCGACTTTTGCTGTGAGCGAAGCAAACTCAATTTGTGTAAAAAATTCTTTTAGTTGCTGTGCATATTTTAAATATAATACACAGCCAACAACAACATCAACAGCGTTAGCGAGCTATACATTATAATATTTTTTATTTTATACAAAAAAAAAGAGGCAAAAAATTATAAAATATATTTTGCGCAGCATTAAGCTTGGCATGGAGTAAATTAATGCATAAAGACAAGCGTGCGTGCATTGAAAGCAGTTTATTCGTGCGTCTGGACACACACACACATACACTCGCTCGCACCCAGCTCACATTCACATACACTCACATACAAACACATGCATGCGCAGTACGTGTTGTAAGCACGTCGCTGGCTGGCATACGTAGCGTATGATTGATAAATTTACACTTTGAAAGGCCACCAAATTGTAAAGTATATTTTATGCGCTGCAAAAATGTACAATATTTTTCACTTAAAATGGTGCGTACATTGACTGTAAAAAATATGTTAAAAAAGAACCTTCTTTCGAGATAAATGGCTTACATTCCTAAAACAATCATTTCAATCAAAATAATAATAAAGTAATTGCTAAATAATAAGGTGAACTTAATTCTCTATATATAAAAATGTTTGCCCTGACTGACTGACTGATTGGTGATCAACGATTCAAAGATTTTA